GTTCACACTACACTACTGCATTTGAGCCCAGGACTATATCCAATTAAATAAGTTTTGATGATACTGCTAGATTAAATATACTTGATCTACGGTATTAAAAGTTAACTAGCAAATACTAAAGAAAATGTGTTTATATGGTAGCTAGCTAGCTGGCAATTCAGATATATTAAATGGAAGCTAGCTAACACCATTTCATTGACAATTTAACCTTTGGGACCCAATCGCCACACAATGTGTTGACTGAGTTTAAAAACAATAATCATGTGATGCACAGAAATCATACACGTACCTTCAGAATTCAAGACGCCGAACTTTGTGGCACAAACGGTGATATCATTGTGTAACCAAATGCTTGTGAGTAATTATGTGTGCCTAAGACACCCCAAAATAAGCATCTGTATCAAACCGCAATGCTTATAATTCATATTCTATGTTGCATTATTCACAGTTTGCTTTCTTTGCCATATCTGACAGCTCACGCAGAGTTCCGCAACTCGCTGAAACATCTAACCGAGCTCCATTATTATAGACAAAACACTGCTATAGCCTTGAAATAGCGATAAAACACAGCATTCTATTCATCAGGAAGTCATTTACATGATACTTTCACAGTATGCATTCACAGAATTCTGCATATGCCTGATTGAGGTTGAGCTCTGTCAAAATGGTTGAAATGGAACGCGCCCATCAGTATAATTGGGATGATTTATCCATTTATCTACTGCTATAACACTCAAAATGGATAGGTTCCAAAGGCTAGCTATGATGGAGCTAGCTAGCTCAACTGTTTCTTTTGCTAGCCATTGTTTGTTATGATACAAGAATGTAGGTTATGATTTGATTTAGCAAGCTGATTGAGGAATCCATTCATCTATCCTATTTCTGTTCATTTATCCAGCATCAATTGTAAAATATTTTTAAAGACCATTTCAATTGTTTAGGTAACGATTTACATATGTGAATGCCATTGCATTAGTGTTTTTATACAAACTTTTCCCCCCACATCTTATTGTACAGAACAATGCCTCGTGTATGCATCATGTAGCCAAATGCCCAAAGTTTCCCCAGGGCTCAAAACAAACAACCCCAGACAAGAGTTCCACTGCCTCCATTCGAAGTGAAAATGATTCAGCCGCATCATTTTCAGACACCCTCTCACCAGCTCCTGCTCACTCTGGAATCAAAGAATTTTTTGACTCAGTGGATGAATGTAGCCAGAGAAATGTTGATGAATGTTTTGCTCGGGCAGTGTATGCAAATGGCTCACCGCTAAGGCTCACAGCCAGTATCTACTGGAAGAGATTTCTCAATGTTCTTCGCCCAACATACACACCTCCCACCAGACATGCTATATCTACTCATCTGCTGGATGGAGAGTTCGACAGAGTGCTAGCAAAGGTCGAGCAAACCACCGACAAAGCAGACTGCATTTCAGTCATTTCTGATGGGTGGTCGAACCTCAGGAGACAAGGAATTATCAACTACATCGTTACCACCCCTCCACCAGTATTCTATAAGAGCACAGACACAGGGGACAACAGACACACAGGCCCCTACATTGCTGATGAGCTGAAAGCAGTCATCAAAGACCTTGGACCGGAGAATGTTATCGCACTTGTAACTGACAATGCTGCGAACATGACGGTTGCTTGGGCACAAGTGCTGGAGACCTATCCTCACACATCAACGATTGGTTGTGTTGCCCATACTTCTTAAGGACATCATGGCACTGAAGACAATGGACACACTGTACAAGAGAGTGAAACAAGTAGTGAAATGTGTGAAGGGCAAACAAGCAGCTTCAGCAATCTACTTCTCAAAGCAAAAAGAAAAGAATAAGAGCACCACACTGAAGCTCCCCAGCGTCACTTGATGGGGAGGGGTTGCCATCATGTATGAGAGTCTACTGGAAGGGAAGGAGTCTCTGCAAGAGATGGTCAGATCCCAGACTGCAGCCATCGAACGTTCCATCAAGAGAATCCTGCAGGAAGATGGGTTCTGGGAAAGAGTGAATAGCAGCCTGAAAATCCTCAAACCAATAGCAGCAGCTGTTGCCAAGATAGAAAGTGGATGATGCCATCTTGTCAGATGTTCAATGTCTGTTTGCTGAGATCATACAAGAAATCCAAACTGTTCTGCCCACTTCCCTGCTGCTCCAAGTAGAGGAAGCCACGGTGATCAAATCAATGGAGAAGTGCCAAAAGTTCTGCATGAAGCCAGTACACGCAACAGCATACATGCTAGACCCAAAGTATGAGAAAAGCATCCTCTCTAGTGAAGAGATCAACAGAGCTTACACTGTTACTACCGTGTCTCACCACCTGGGTTTTGATGAAGGTAAAGTTCTCGGAAGTCTGGCAAAGTACCGTACTAAGCAAGGCCTTTGGGAAGGGGATGGGATATGGCAGTCGTGCCAGCACATATCTGCATCCATCTGGTGGAAAGGACTTTGGAGCTGAAGCCCTTGCACCTGTAGCCTCCATCATTCTCCAAATCCCACCAACATCAGCCGCCTGTGAGCACAATCGTTCACTGTTCGGGAACACGCACAAAAAGGATTGCAACAGGCTCACAAATGCAAGTGTCGAAAAACTGGTATTCATCCAGGCAAACCTAAGGTTCTTTAAGCCTGACACAGAGCCATCCTCAACAAGATTGGACTCAGAAAACTCAGATACACATTTATGAACAATGCTCATATTTTCTGTGCTCTCTCAAGATCTGAATCTTGTGGTTTCAAAATTTTTATACCCAGTAAATATAGATTTGAATACACCATCATTTGGAAGTATAGACCATACTGCACACTGTTGGGAAACATGCTTAACCTTGCAGATGTGTGGTAGTTGCAGATTGGTCAATTTCAGAAAAGTGAAATAAAATTGTAAATATTCTGAACTGTCATGCACATATTTAAGGTTAATTAATATATAAGCCTACTTGAAGAGCAATCGTTTTTCGTGAGGGATTCAACTTTATAATCTGTTACACAGTGGCGGCTGGTGAAAAAAATTCTTGGTGGGGCTGATGTACCAATAGATTTCCCTTCCTAGTCCAGTATAAGCATTCAAATGAACAGTCAGAAAATGACAACAATTTCACAATCATGTCCTGTTGTAGGCTTTAACTTTCTCCTTAGTTGGCTGGGTGAAATTTATTTCGGGATTGTCGGGTCCCAGCTCCTTAACGTGGATTTTTTTCCACCATCATCCTTCTCGCAAAAGGGTAATTCAATAACGATCTGACCGAATTTGGTGGAAGCTGCCCCTCAACCGCAGTCGTCGACATCATCTCTCTGACTGATTGACCTGAGAGCAATCCAAAACTTTCCCGCATTTTCTGTAGCAGGGGCGAAATTTCCAGCGCCCCAAAACTATTTAATTCGGCGATGCTGATAGGCCAAATCTTTATTATTTTCGCCTAGCAACCATACACGATTGGCTATTTTGCTGCACTTCTGGGGCGCTTTGATGAGCGCCCAAGAAGAGAAATGACTGGTGGAAATCTGTCGGTGGAAATTCACTGTTGAATGAGAATCAGTTGGTGGAAATGTTGTTTAAATAATTCAGATTGCATATAGACACACACTATTAAGTAAAACTGACATTGATTTAAAAAAAAAAAATATATATATATATATATATATATATATATATTTTATATTCCCCCCCACATCTGGGAGGACGGCGCCCGAGCGCCCCCTATGGGCCAGCCGCCACTGCTGCTACATCAC